AATCATTGCACTGAGGGGGGAAACGCATGCGGACACCGCCACTGGGACCTTGGGTGGAACTCCCCATGGGGCCACGAAACGTTGTACTGGGTGGGGGAAACGCATGCGCACACCGCCACTGTGGCAGTCGGTGGAGCTCCCTATGGGGCCACGAAACATTGCACTGGGTTGGGCAAACGCATGCGGACACCGCCACTGGGGCCTTCGGTGGATCTCCTCCCTGAGTGGCCACGGAACGCTGTACTGGGTGGGGGAAACGCATGCAAACGCAGCCACGAGTGCCTTCGGTGGAGCTCCCTACGTGGCCACGAAGCGTGGCACCTGGTGGGGGAAACGCATGCGGACACCGCCCCGAGGGCCTTCGGCGGAGCCCCCGTATGGAGCCCCAACATGTTTCACTGGGTGGGCGAAACGCATGCGAACGCAGCCACTGGCGCCTTCGGTGGGGCTTCCTCTGGGGCCACGAAACGTGCGAGGGGTGTGCCGAAGAGGAGGGATTGCGGCGTGCGAACGTAGCCACTGTGGTTTTCGGTGGAGCTCCCTATGTGGCCTCGAGACGTGTGAGACGTGTGCCAAAATAGGGCGGGGCCGCCATGCGGACAACGCCACTGGGACCTTGGGTGGAGCTTCTTGTGGGGCCACGAAACGTGCGATGGGTGTGCCGAAATGGGGCGGCGCCGCCATGCGGACGGCGTCACTGGTACCTTAGGTGAAGCTCCCTATGGGACCACAAAACGTGCGAGGGGTGTGCCGAATTGGGGCGGCGGCACCATGCGGACGGCGCCACTGGGACCGTCGGTGGAACTCCATCTGAGGCCTCGAAACGTGTGAGGCGTGTGCCGAAATGGGGCGGCGGCGCCATGCGGAAGGCGCCACTGGAACCGTAGGTCGAGCTCCCCATAGGGCCACGAAAAAGTGTGAGGGGTGTGCCGAAATGAGACGGCGCCGCCATGCGGACGGCGTCACTGGGACCTTAGGTGGAGCCCCCGATGGGGCCACGAAACGTGTGAGGGGTGTGCCGAAATGGTGCGGCGGCGCCATGCGGACGGCGCCACTGAGACCTTAGGTGGAGCCCCCTGTGGGGCCACGAAACGTGTGAGGGGTGTGCTGAAATGGGGCGGCGCCACCATGCGGACGGCGCCACTGCGACCTTAGGTGGAGCTTCCCATGGGGCCACGAAACGTGTGAGGGGTGTGCCGAAATGGTGCGGCGGCGCGATGCGAAGGCGCCACCGGGAGCTTAGGTCAAGCTTACTGTGGAGCCACGAAACGTGCGAAGGGTAAGGAGCCAAAATGGGTGTCGATGATGGTGACGATAAAGGCGATGATGATGACGATGCTGACGAGGATGACGATGATGGTGATGATGACGGCCATGATGATGCTGATGATGATGCTGAGAATGCTGATGATGACGATGACGATGACGATGATGATGGTGATGATGATGATGACGATGATGATGATGATGGTGATGACGATGACGATGACGATGACGATGGCGATGACGATGACGATGACGATGACAATGATGATGATGATGATGATGATGATGATGATGATGATGATGCTCAGTCTGATCATTGGTGGTTGGTGATTGGTTGGGCTATTGATTGGTTGATTGATTGGTTGGTATCATGTTGATGATGATGATGATGATGATGATGGTGATGATGATGATGATGATGATGGTGATGGTAGTGGAGATGATGCTGATGTTGATGATGATGATGGTGATGATGGTGTTGATGCTGATGTTAATGCTGTTGATGATGGTCACGATGGTGATGATGATGCTGATGATGGTGGTGATGATGCTGATGCTGATGTTAATACCGCTGATGATGATAGTGATGATGATAGTGATGATGATGATGATGATGGAGATGATGATGATGATGATGATGATGATGATGATGATGATGATGATGATGATGATGATGATGATGATGGTGATGATGATGATGAGGAGGAGTAGGATGATGATGATGATCATGATGATGATGATGATGATGATGATGATGATGATGATGATGATGATGATGATGATGGAGAAGGGAAGAGGGGGAGGAGTGAGGAGGAGGAGTGAGGAGGAGGAGTGAGGAGTGGGACGCGGGGCGCTGTCTCTTCAAAACAAAGATCCAACACTACAGGATGGTTGGGAAAAATCTGCAACCATTTTACTGATCCTCATGGTTACCGTACCAGAAATGCCGTTTTGGAGCAGTTCAGGTTTGTCATGGCGCAATAGTTAGGTTGAATCGCAATGTTTTGCAGGAGTGGTGTCCTGGCATGATTAAGGATCGTCAAGACGCAACAGTCAGGTTGACTCGTGGCGTTGAAGTCCTGAAAATGGTGTTTTGGCACGCTTAAGGATTTTCGCAAAGCTGTCCCCCAACGGGGCACTTCCCTCAGTGGAAATGGACCCTTGTAGGGGTCGATGAAAGGAGAGCATGGAGGGAGGGTGTATTCCAGCATCGCTGATTGGCCTTGGGTTTGCGCTGGTCCTCCTCCTCCTCCTCGTCCTCAAGCGAGAGTGTCGTTCCGTTGGACGGAGGCTCTCTGGAGAGCATCAAGTGTGGCAAGTGTTGCAGCGGTAAGATCACCTCTCCCGAGGCTGAGAGCGTTCTATGGTGTGAAACCTCATCGAAAGCCAAATCGGGACGATCCAGTGTTTGGGAAAAGTGCACGAGATAGGTGGGCGCACATGAACAGCACTGGGGGAGAGAGAAGGACTGTGTTCAAATAGGTGGAGGGATTGGGCGCCTGGGCCCCTCAGGCCTGGGGGTCGTAGCCAGGGGTCGCCGGCGCTCCGCGCCGGCCGGGCCAAGCGGCCAGGGCAGAAGGCACCCTCCTGCTGTTCACGAAAAATCGAAGATGGAGGAGGGGTGCGGAGAGGAGGAAGAGGTGGCCGCAGAGATTGCCTCTGCGAAACTCCTTCGGCCTTCCGCCCAATGGAACGACGCTCCTCGTCGCAGCGATGGCCGTACGCCTGCATCAGCGACACTGGGGCTCCCGCTACAGTCATCGGCCTTACCTAAGGAACGATAAATAAGGAACGAAACCCCTTTTTTATCCCAAGGAATAACGCATAAGGAACGATAAATAACAAATAACGCATAAGAGACTGTAAATAACGCATGCGAGCCTGAGGAACGGCCGAGCCCCTCTTGAAAAGTAAGCGTTCCGTATTCAAGCCGCCCACTGTACAGCGCGTGCAGAAACAAAACGATCTCCATGGAGCCTACGCCCAGTGGAGCGGCGCCCTCGCCGGGCCGCCGCAGACCACCTGCAGCAGCCGAGCGGCGTTCCCGCCACGGCGTGTGCCACGGGCAGGAGCCTCCAGCGGGTTGCATCGCCACGGCGCTGGCCGCTCCTCGTCCTGCCTCGTGGCCGCCGTGAGCCAAAGTGCCTCCCCGATGACCACACCCTGGGGATGAGAAAGTTCGGAATCCCAGAGGGGGTAAGAAAGCATTCTTTCCCCGCAAGTCGCACGCACGGATGCACACGCGTACGGCGCAGGGATGTACGGTGCACGGAACGTACGGGTGCACGGAGTGTCCAAACATGTTTAGGAGTGTACGGTGTACGGACGTACGGCGTAATTACGGATGTACGGATGTGCTCGCGGACCCAGGGACACTGCAAGCCCGTTCGCCCCCCTGCCTCTGATAATGAAAATAGTATGAGTAGTTCGAATAACCTTGATACTGATGACAAATGGCAAGGCGAATAGTTACTCACGATAAGAAAATCAAAGCTACGATTGGTACTTGGCCCAGTGCATAACCAAGGTCGGCCTCGCCGCCCCCACCTCCGACCACAACTGCCTTGGCAAGAGATAACAAACACCGAGGACTGAAAGAGGGGATACTTTATGACGGGGGGCATGCGATCAGTCCAACCTGGTCCGTCTTCCGTCTTCGCTCGTTGCCCCTCCTCCGAATCATCATCGTCCACTCCCCCTCCGCGTCACTCAACAACAACAACCTCATTCATTTCCGTCACCTTCACCACCACAATTTCATCATTATCATCATCAGCATCCGCATCAGAAGGATCACCATCACCATCATCATCATCATCATCATCATCATCCTCATCATCATCATCATCATCATCATCATCATCATCATCATCATCATCATCATCATCATCATCATCATCATCATCATCATCATCATCATCATCATCATCATCATCATCATCATCATCATCATCATCATCATCATCATCATCATCATCATCATCATCATCATCATCTTCATCATCATCATCATCATCATCATCCATCTTCATCATAATCATCATCAGCAGCAGCAGTTTTGAACAGCAGCATCATCATCGTTATCCAGCATCATCATCAGCAGCAGCAGCATCGTCAATATCATTGGCATTGTCTCACCCTCGTTGTGGGCGCCGTCATCATCATCACCATCATCATCATCGGCGTCATCTACCTCGTCCTCCGCAGCAGCAGCAGCCTCATCATCAGAATCATCGTCACAATCATCATCACATTCCTCCCCCACCCCCTCCTCCTCCTCCTCCTCCTCCTCCTCCTCCTCCCGATCATCCTCATCATCACAACCACCACCTCATCACCACCACCACCACCACCACCCAAACCGCTGCCAAGAACACCGTCACCACCACCACCGCCGCCACCACCACGCCGCCTCTCCCCCTCACGCCGATCAATACCGAAGGAGAAAACGAAGACCAAAGACGGAGATGCTGTCCCCCAGAGATCCGATGTCGTGATTTTTTCAATACGGGGTCCCCGGAAGTCTCGACCCATTCCCCAGGGCCGGTTTCTCATCCCGAGTCCTTTTTTGACGGTCCCGGTGCCTGGCGAGGGCCCCTAGAGGCCAAAAACTGCGAAAACCGCCCGTCCTGATTTTCTCAATGCGTTGGGTCTCTGGGCCCCCTCCTCTCCCCTCGCCACCCCCCAACCCGCACACGCCCACCGCCGGCGCCGCCCGCCCCCCGAAGCCCCGCCTCGCGCCGGCGGCGGCCACGCCGCTGCGGGCGGAGAGGCCCAGCACCACGGAGGGGCTCGGGTCGCGGCTCCTGCCGGGGCCGGCGACTCCCGAGGGTGTGGCCTGCAAAGAGGGCTCCTGCTCCTCCCCCTTGTCCTCCTCCTGCACCTGCTCCTCCCCCTTGTCCTCCTCCTCCTCCCCCTCCTCCCCCTCCTCCTCCTCCTCCTCCTCCTCCTCCTCCTCCTCCTCCTCCTCCTCCTCTGCGACCGGCACCCTGGGGAACCTCCATCGGGGGCACCCTGGGGGCCCCGGCACGCGGGGACCTCGATGGAGCTCTCCCGCGCCCCGAGGAGGCCCGACGAGGGCGGTGTGTCGTGCCCCCCCCGGGCCCCAACGGCGCCGGTCGCAGGCCACGCCCCGGCGCGACCACACCCTTCGCCGCCCACGAGGGGGGCACGCGGCCAGCGCACCGCTGAGGCAGCCCCGACCAGCGGGTTCGCGGCGCGTCGACCCCAGCGCTGGCTCCTGACACCGCTGGGATCGTTCAATCCCAGAGATCCAACGCATTGAAAAAATCAAGACGGGCAACGCATCGAGGAAGGTACCCAAGGCCTCCCGCAAGAACGAGTAGTGGAGCTCTGGGATCGCATTACCTGAGGCGATGGTGCGGCAGCTGGCGCGGAGCGCCCAGGAGCCCTTCCCCTTGGAGAGGCTACTCGCCTCGGTCCCATCAAACTCTGGAGGCTCCTCACACCCTAAGGGAAACCTTGACCAGAAGGGGGGGGCGAAACAGCGCCGCAACGAAACCAAAAGGTCAACTTTCCACAGCTCTGGGGGGATCCCGTCCAGCCCAGGAGCTCTGAAGCGGGCAAGCTTCACTAACTTGGCCCGCGGCCACGCCAGCGACGGCACCCGCTGGAGCCCCCCGTCCCCCCCCCCCCCTCCCCAGATCAGCGGCGCGAAGCGCGCGGCTGAGATCTTCGCGCAGCGCAGCAGCAGTCGTTGCACTCGCATGCTCGGTGGACGCGAACACGTCAAACAGAAGCTGCTGCCGCTGCACCCGCTCGAAGGCCTCCCGGGGACAGTTTTCCATCTGTCTGGGGGCCGTCATTGGGCCGTCTGGGGGCATCCCCGGAGGCACGGTTCTCCCATACACAGTCGAGGGCCCCCTCCAGGGCCCCCCCGCCTCGTGCCCAGGGATATATGTCTATATATAGATATAGATATATATATATATAAAGAGAGAGAGAGAGAGAGAGAGAGAGATGTGTGTGTGTGTTTGTACGTGTGGTGTGAGCTATGTGGTGCAAGCGACGGCGTGCAACCCAGGTGGTGCAACGTATGCAGTGCAGCACAGGTGGTGTGGGCATGTGTGGTGCAAGCTACGTGGTGCGATCTGTGTGGTGTGAGCTATGATCTGTGACCTGTGCGACTTGAGCTGTGCGGTGCACTCCTGCATGGCAAGAACTGCGAGGGGTATGAGCTATGCGGTGCAGTGTGCGTGGCGTGAGCTATGCGGTGTACGCGCGCTGCCCCCACGAGGCGCCCGCGGGCGGCCTCGTGGCGAGACCTCGGCGGACCCGCCCCGCGCACGGGGCGCCCACGAGGCGCCCACGGGCGGCCACGTGGCGAAACCTCACGGGACCTACCCAGTTCCTCAGCAAGTGCAAGCAAGAACCCCAAGAGCAAGCACCGCTGGGATACTCGACGCACGAGGTGGGAGAAGCAAGAAGACGAGGGCGAAGAGATGGAAGAGGCGGGGGAGGGAGGGAGGCCCATCCTCGCTCGCCCCGGAAATCTCGGCGCGTTCCCGAGAAGTCTCGACCTTTTCCACAAAACCGGTTTTCATTCTGGGTCGTCGTTCGACGGTCCTGGAGCCTGGCTTTGGCCTCAAGAGGCCGAAAGAGGCGAAAAACTTCCGTCCAGATTTGTCCCATAAACGTTGGACCTCTGTGCCCTCGCTCGCCCCCCGTCCTCGCTCTGGTACTGGCTGGAATGGATTTGTGTCCGCTCCTTACGGGTAAGCTCTGGCCATCGATCGCCAGAGGAGGCAAGAAGTCGAGGAAGACGAGGAAGACGAGGAGGAGGAGAAGGCCCAGACATCCAGCTGCTCCAATTGTTTCGATGCGTGGGCCCCGGAGTGTGGACCACTTGCCTAGGGCCGGCTTTTCGTCCTGAATCGTCGTGTGGACGATCCCGAGGCCCGGCGAGGGCCCCCAGAGGCTGAAACAACCAAAATCTGCCCGCTCTAATTGTTGCTGGGGCGTCGGATCTCTGGGGGAGGAAGAAGGGGAGGAGGAGGAGGAGGAGGAGGAGGAGGAGGAGGAGGAGGAGGAGGAGGAGGAGGAGGACGAGGAGGAGGCGGGGCGCGGGGCGAGGCAGCCCCCTCCTCGCTCGCCCCCCCCCCTCCTCGCTCGCTCCTGCTCGTGTTGCCGCGGGGCGTCCGGTGGCTGGCGAGGCCCGCCGGGGCGCCTCCGCAGCCCACCCCGGCGGGCGCCGCCCACTCCGCCGGCGGCCGCGACGCGCTCTGGCTGGAGGTGCGGCTGTAGCTGGGGCGCGGGGCGGGGGGCACTGGCCACGGGGAGGGCGGAGGGCGCTGATGATGATGATGATGATGATGATGATGATGATGATGATGATGGTGATGATGATGATGGTGATGATGATGATGACGATGATGATGATGATGATGATGATGATGATGATGATGATGATAGTGGTGATGGTGATGATGATGATGATGATGATGATGATGATGATGATGATGATGATGATAGTGATGATGCTGCTGCTGCAGCTGCTGCTGCTGCTGATGATGATGATGATGATGATGATGATGATGATGATGATGATGATGATGATGATGATGATGATCCATGTCCATGTCCACCGCCTGGGAACCGCTGTCCCGGTGCCCCAGCGGGCGGTGGATATGTGGAGATGCTTCGGCCCCCGGGCGCGCCCGAAGATGGCCCCGGCCACCGCCTGCCGATGGTCTCCGAAGACTGGCCCTCTCCGGGCGGCGGAGATGGAGAAGCTCCCGCCCTGGAAGAGGGGAGGGAGGGGCGCAGAGGAGCGCGGAGGAGGGCAGAGGACGGGGGAGGACGGAGGGGGGCGGAGGAGGGCGGAGGACAACGGAGGAGGGCCCCCGACGAGGCAACGCGACGCGGATCCTCCCCCGAAACTTGCAGCGCACGGTGCAGGCATGCATCGCCTCTGCCAAGGAGACTGCAGGTCCCAAAAGCCTGCGACCCTGGCGCCTCGATGTTGTTCGAAATGGGCGCTTTCGCCACCATCTCGGGCCATGAGGCCCTCACAAATCGATCCAGCTCGAAACATGGTTCGGAAAAACAAGGTCTAGGGCCTCGGCCCTATCACTATCTTCGCGGGAAGAAACAAACAAACAAACAAACAAACAAACAAACAAACAAACAAACAAAAAACAAACAAACAAAAAACGAGAGGCAGGGGAGAAGCACTTTCGGCCTCCAGGGGCCCTCGCCGTGTCCAGGGACAGTTCTCGACAAACAAAAAAAAACTCGCGATGAAAAACAAGCCCCGGGGAAAGGGTCAGGACTTCCGGGAATCACGCACTAAAGAATTTAGGACTGGGGAAGGCGGAGGAGCGAGCCAGCGAAGGTGCAGGTGAATCACTAGCACCAGGCGGCGGAAAAAAGGATATGGAAGATGGCATCCCCACCCGAACGGGGCCACATGCAGGAAGCGTGCCGCCGCCACCAGAATCGGCAGGCAGCTTCTCGGTCCACGGTGCCGCGACGAAGACCCATGGCAGGGCACCTCCAGGAGCGCGCCACTTCCCCGAGGAATCACGGGCCATTTCCGCGACCCGGAGGGGTCACGGACGGCGATCGCCCCACCCTCGCGGGGACGGCCCAGCCAGAGCCCCAGAATCCCAGGAGCGGGGCCAGCGGCAGGCCAGGACCCCAACGGGGCACAGGCGGGCCACACAGCATTCCGAGCCGAATCCAGCGACCAAGAACGTGCATGACGGGGCGGCAGCCACGACATCCGTGCAGGAGTAGCTTGCAGGCCGAGCGTTGCAAGAAGAGCGCTAACAAATCACAAGTGTTCAGACAGTCGCACAGCCGATGCTACAGGCAGCCCTATTCCGATGGCGTTTAGCTCTGCTCCAGCGACTGCGCCTGGAGTGGGGCTGCAAAACCAAAGACTGCCGCACGAGCTGCACTCTTGATGCACTTCATGGGAGAGCGAATCGTGCCAAAGTCGCGGGCCACATCGGCAAAGACGCTGGCGGACGAGACGGGGCGAGCACTCTGCATAGCCATCAGAGCCCCGATAGCGTCGCACTCGATAGGCTTGGACGCGAGAAAGCTCTGGTTGAGGAAGTCCGTGATGTTCTCGACGTCGTCGGACTCGTCGCGCAACGCCTGGAGGATGCTGCCCACATCCGCGGGGAGATAGGCACTGAAAGAATTCTTGGGCGTGTCGGTCGACGCCACGCCCCGCGACTCGTCCGGGGACTCCTGCAGGGCCTCATGAACATCGTCGCTCGACTGGAGAAGCTTTCAGATGGCGTCGGTGGCCTTCTGCGGCGCCACTGCAAGGGGCCCGAAGAGGGGGCCGAAACGATATCGGTACTGCCACCACCACGTGCGTGCAAGGTCGGGCCGGCCCTCTCGACCTCCTTCAGGTCGTGGGCAGCTTTGAACGCATCGGCAGCCAGCGCGCCCTTCTCGTCCTCCGTGGGCTCCGGAAGGGCACCACGTTTGTCATCGCCCATCGTGTTGGTAAATTTCGGCGGAGCCGCTGAAGTAGGCGGCGAATACGAGTCCGAGACACACCTCGCTGCTGCCACCACCCTTTGCGTCTAGGATATGATCGCCCGTCTCGACCTCCCGCAGGTCGTAGGCCTCCTTGGACGTGGTGGTAGCCACCACTCCGTTCGCGTCCACCGCGGACTCCTGGAGGGTCACGTCTCCGTTCGCGCCCAACTTGGTCAGTTTGCAGATGGCATTATATTCATTCTGAGGAACAGCTGAGATGAGCTTCGAATTCATGCCCGATGTGCTTTGGTGCTGCTGAGATTTTCCCCGTGGCTCTCTTCTCAGCCTCGGGCTGGGCGTAGGCCACCAACATATGCTTCAGGAGCTGCTCGCACAAACGCTCCAGTTTGTTGGCCTTCTCGCCCAGCCCTGAAAGGTACTCGGCGCTGACCTTCTCGCCCAGGTCCGAGAAATCCTCGGTGTCGCCTTCTGTCGCCTGGGGCTGGGGCGCCTCGCAACACCAAGCCTCGCCAGCAGTCGCCTCGGCAGCCGACGCTGCGGCCTCATCGGCGGCGTCGGACTCCGACAACGAGGTGGCATGTCCGCGCACGAGCTTGGACACGAGACTGGCAGTCAGACTTGGCTTGGGGTGGGCCAAGGCGCGGCGGCCAGCCATGAATTCAGCGCAATCCTTGGCCAGCGACTCCTCTCCGACGGCTCGGAGCGCATGGCGAACATCTTCAGAGGTCGCTTTACGCTCGAGGTCCAAGACCTCGCCTGCCTGCAACGTCTGCCTTTTTGTTGCTGCGACTGGCAGCAAAGCTTAGGTCGGGCATGTCCCCCTACCGGCGGACTTTGGACGAAAAATAAAAAATACTCAAAAAATACTCCAAAATGGTCAAAGAGTCAAAAATCGTCCCCTGACAATTGTTTGACTAGTTTTGAATGTTCCTCCTGTAGAGGGACAGGCCCGATTTAATGCAAGCTCAGGGCATCGGTCCACTGCGTTGCTGCGGCGTGTGCTGCGTGCCGACCTGCCACCGGACCAGCCAGCTGAAAACCTACGAGACCACCCCAACCCAACCCGAAGACCCGAATTTCGGCAGGTTGTCGGATGACTTTCGGGCACACTATTTGCTATACATGCACGCAGTAGTGTAGCAACACACGTGAGGGCTGTGTTTGACTTCCATCGATGCATGTGTTTCCTGACTGTACGTCATAAGCCAAGGCGTTCCCGCAACTGAGACGAGACGTCTTAGGGCGCTCGATCGGAAGTTCTGACGTTCTGGGGAGGGGGGGGGTACGGGTTCCACATGCGGTTCTTAAAGTCCCCTGAACCCCCCTCACGGGAAAGGAAGGGCAGATCGGGGCCTTCGGGCTGGGTTGGGGTGGTTTGGTGGGCGGTGGCCAGGAGTGGAGTCAGATGCGCACTCCAAAAATAGAGGCGTCGACGATGCATCGGCGACGTCGACGTGAAGCAAATCGAGCACCACATCGAGCCGCCTCGCCGATGCATCGGCGATGCGGAGCGATCCTCCGACCACATCTAGTACGACCCCATATGGGAGGCCTAACATAAAACACTCTCGCGTGACTTGCCACAAGATTGCTGCGTGTGCATGCATGCATGGTTTGCGCTTCCGTGGCCGCCGAGGCTCGAAACCAGTAGGGACATTTGTCCCACGAGCTAGAGTCGGGCAGTGTTGTAAAAATACGCGCACCAAAAGCTTGAGATCTCTTTGGTTTCATCATACACGTCGGTCGGCAGAAGTAGATAGAAACATTAAGTAGGAAGGCGGATAAAGTAGATTGGGTTCAGGCCCTTCCAGACAGTAGCAAAACGCAGCAAGAGCATATCGATTCTTGAAGTAGGAAGGCGCTTGAAGAAGATTGGCATCTGGGAATCCAGAAGTACCTACTTCCAACGACCACCGTGTAACCCTCCCTCCGTGCGGCGCGGGGCGGGGCGAGCAGGGAGCGGGAGGAGATCCGTGCAGCAGGGGCGGGGGCACGCCTGCTGGCGGTCGGCACCCTCGCCCGGTCGCCTGCGGGCGGGGGGGGCGAGCCCGGGGCGCCGCCCAAATCCTCAAGCTCATCTACAGTTGTGGATGCCATGACAATGGACACTCTAACAATCCTATCCTTGAACTAGATAAAAATTTGTTCAATGTGTAGAACATGTTCTAAAAATGTTTCAAACATGTGTTCCACATATTCAAAAAATGATTGAAACATCTTTTATACTTTTGGAGATTATTTGGCAACACGCTTCCTCTCCATTAATCGGCTTTCACAAGTGTACAATCAATCCGTACAAGAAGGACGTCAGATAAGGATGCAAGGGGCCTTGGAAGGCCACTTCGATGCTCTTCGAGGGGGGCGCGGCCAGCGAAGGTGGCCACGGGTGGGCCGAAGGGGGCAATGAAGCAAGGGTACCCTTGGGAAGGTTGCCCATCCTGATTGCGCGGGCTGACTGTATTCATGGCACTGTCGCGCGGCTGGCGCCCTCAGCTGGGGCCTGCGCGAGCAGCCAGCGAGGGGCCCCGAGGCAACAGCGCCCCTTGACGCAAACTGGCTGCTCCGCTGCGCCGACTCGCCGCTGGCCCTGGCAACGCGTTGGCTGGCGCGCGCCTGCGAGGGGCCGCAGGAGAGGCCTGGCCAGGCCACGACAGGTTCGCCTCCTCCTCCTCCTCCTCCTCCTCCTCCTCCTCCTCCTCCTCCTCCTCCTCCTCCTCCCTCCTCCTCCTCCTCCTCCTCCTCCTCCGCCTCCGCCTCCGCCTCCGCCTCCGCCTCCTCCTCCTCCTCCTCCTCCTCCTCCTCCTCCTCCTCTCCTCCTCCTCCTCCTCCTCCTCCTCCTCCTCCTCCCCTCCTCCTCCTCCTCCTCCTCCTCCTCCCCTCCTCCTCCTCCTCCTCCTCCTCCCTCCTCTCCTCCTCCTCCTCCTCCTCCTCCTCCTCCTCCTCCTCCCTCCTCCTCCTCCTCCTCTCCTCCTCCTCCTCCTCCTCCTCCTCCTCCTCCTCCTCCTCCTCCTCCTCATCTCCTTCCTCTCCTTCCTCTCCTTCCTCCTCCTCCTCTTCCTCCTCATCCTCCTCCTCCTCCTCCTCCAGGCGCTTCGCCTAATTACCGCTTCGTCCGCCACTGGACCCCTGTCGCAGACCAGAAACCTCTCAAGGGTTTCTTCAGGTTCCTTGGGGAACTTATCGGGAGCCTCTTGGGGACCTCTTGGGAACCCCATTGGGAGCCTCTTTTTCCCAGCCTCGCTGCTGGCGTGCAGTCTTCCTGGTCACGGTCGAAGCTTCGCCGACGAAACCAGAGCCGTTCCTGTAAGCATGGCACTGAGGACCAGGGGGAGCCCCAAGGGCCTCCACTGCTGCAAACCGAGCTGCCTGCACGTGTAACGTCTGTAAGACCACGGCTGCAGCGATCAACAAGGCGAATTCCCGCGCCACCCACCGTTCGAGGGGGCAGCGCCTGTAGACAGGGCCGTGGCAGCGCCAGCTTCGGTGGCGCCATCGAACAGGAAGAGCGCAACAGAAAGAGCGCCGCTAGGCGGCAGCAGCACCCGTCAGAGCAGCACGCCTGGAGCCGAGGGGCCAACCCCGCTGCCCAGCGCGGCGCTCCGCGAGAGAGGGGCCGGCCTCAGCACGACTGGTAGTTGTTCAGGGGCCGGCCGCCGCTCGGCTGGAACCCGCACTTGCAGAACCAGCTGGCCTCCCCGTCCATGTCCGGGAAGCCCGTGCACTCGCCCGGCCTCACTGTCTTGGTCCGCAGGGGATCGCCCCCGCAGACAGCGTTGCCGTACACCACCTGGGTGAGGTTGGCGTCCGAGTTGCGCACGTCGCCGCCGCACGTGTAGATCACCGAGAGGCCACTGCCCCACTTCGCCGGCTGGCACTGTCCCGCCCAGAGCGTCCTCGCAGAGGCCTCCTGGATGGGGTCCAAGCGGATGGGGTCGGAGGATCGCGCCGCATCCTCGATACATCGTTGATGCATCGGCAATGTATCGGTGATGCACTGGCGACATCGGCGGTGCAATGGCGACGCCAGCGTGGAGAAGATCGGGCTCCACATCGAGCCGCATCGCCAATGCATCGGCGATGCATCGGCGATGCGGCGCGATCCTCCGACCCCATCTGCTCGGACCCCGTCTGGGAGGCCTAGGCCTCTGGGGGCCGCCGCCCCCGCACTGCTGACGCGTCACGAACCAGGCGGTCGGCTGCGCGGCGCTGGCCAGCAGAGGCTCCTCCTGCTGCCCCGCCCGCCGGCAGGTGCTCGGCGTGCCCGACGACGACCCCGCAGCGGGAGCCACGCACGCGAGCCCGGAAGAGCAGCCGCCGTAGAAGTCCCCCGAGGAGCTGCTGCCACACTCCTGCCCTTCGCCCTGCGCAGGACGGCCGCCGGCGCTGTCGCAGTACATGTAGCATCCGCCAGCCCCCTCCCTGCACGGCGTCGCGGCCTTGCCCAAGCAAGTCTGGCCCGCGCTGCAGGTGCCGTTGACATGGTCCCCGCCGGCGCCGAAGCTTCCGCACACCTTGTGGCAGACGCTGGGGCTGCCCGGCGCGGCGCCATTCGCCGGGGGTACACACTCGAGCCCGACGGAGCAGTCACCGTAGAAGTGGCCATCCGAGCCGCTGCTGCCGCACTCCTGGCCTTCGGCCTGGGCCCTCGCGAGGAAGCGGCGGCTTCCACCGGCAGCACCCTCTCCGGCCAGAGCGCCCGAGGCCATGGACCCGACGGCCAGGAGGCACACGGGCAGGCTGACAACGGCGGGTACCATGCCTCGAGCAGAACCGCACGGCGGAGCGCCAATGGAGTTCAGCGCTCCAGGCTGGCTCACCCGAGGCCCACTGGCTTGAGGCAAAGCGGCTGCGGAGCTAGAAGAAAACACAAACTTTGAGCGCTCCGCGCGGACTTCTTGGATCCGCGCTGGACCCCCCTCTCTGGCGCGCCGAACGCACCAGGGGCGGCGCCGGAGGCGCCGCCAGGGGGGCCCAGCGCGGAACCAAGAAATCCGCGCGGAGCGCCAAAAGTTTGTTTGTGGCGTGTTTTCTTCTTCGACTCTTGGGGTGTGGATGCCACGACAACGAACACCACAACAGCCCAATCATTTAATTAAACATGTGTTCAAGATGTCGAAAACATGTTCTCAACATGTGTTACACATGTTTTAAACATGTGTTTTGCATGTTTGAAACATGTTTAGCACATGTGTTAGACATCCGGAAATGATTTGGCAACATGTTTCCTCTCCATTGATCTGAAGGAGCCCCAGGACACACAAATAAATACACACAAATAAAAAGATTCCCCATATTTTCCCATAGTTTCTGGGTTTCTGTCTTCCCTCCCACTTCCCATATTTTCCTATATTTCCCCACATCCTGAGTGGGGTTCTTGTTTTCCCAGAACACCCTCTCCTTCTCCTCCTCCTCCCGCGTCCTTCTCCTAAACCATACCATACCAAGCCATACCATACCAATACCTTACTATACCAATACCATACCAAGCCATACCAAGCCATACCATATCAATACCATACCATACCATACCAATACCATACCATACCATACCATACCAAACCAATAACATCCCAAGCCATACCAAGCCATACCATACCAATACCATACCATACCACCCCTCCCACCCCTCCAGGGAGGCCCCGCCTGAGCGAGGAGGGTATTCGCATCACCTGTTATTTCTCAGGTTTCGTGCCCCTCCCACCCCTCCAGGGAGGCCCCCGCTGAGCGAGGAGGGTATTCGCATCACCTGTTATTTCTCAGGTTTCGTGCCCCTCCCACCCCTCCAGGGAGGCCCCGCCTGAGCGAGGAGGGTATTCGCATCACCTGTTATTTATCAGGTTTCGTGCCCCTCCCGCCCCTCCAGGGAGGCCCCGCCTGAGCGAGGAGGGTATCGGAATACCATACTATTTACATGGTTTCGTGCCCCTCCCACCCCTCCAGGGAGGCCCCGCCTGAGCGAGGAGGGTATCGGAATACCATACTATTTACAGGGTTTCGTGCCCCTCCCACCCCTCCAGGGTAGCCCCGCATGAGCGAGGAGGGTATTCGCAAACCATGTGATAGAAAAGGATGGAGAGGGCGAGGGCAGGTCGGCAATTTCTCTACAAAATGTTGCTTGATCCCGCTAGCCCAAAAACATCATTATGTGGGGAACTCCGTTAGCATAATTTTCTGGGGAATCGAGGATTAATTGTGTCTGTGTGTTTCTTTTCCTCCTGATGATCGTCCTCCACACCTCTTGGGGGCCTGGTGGGAATCCGAGGGGACGGACAGCGGCAGACCCGCGCGCCAGACGCGCGCTCGGCGGCGCGGGCGGCTTCGCCGAGGGCGGCTTCGCCG